GATGCTCATAAATGCATTAAAAAAAAACTTTAAAGCTATAAAAGTGTAAGCACTGAATAAATATTTTTGAGGACCAGGTATATGCAAAAAGCATAGAGGATACAAATATAATTGAAGAATTGTAATTACTTTATAACCATACTAAATAGAAATCATTGCACCCACAGTTGTTCTTTTCTAGTGTCTTCTGAGTAGACACTTTTTGTCATTTTTCCGTCATTTTTTATCCAGCACAAAGCCTGGCAGAGAGCTCTGCATATGGAAAGTGTCTAAGATGTTCTTGAATTTGTACATAAAATTTCTAACCCCACTGAAAATCTGTAGTTGAAAAGACACAATTTAAAGTAAGTAATGAACATATAAAACATTTAGAAAAATATAACACGTCACATAGTTGTACTCTAAAGTGCCACAGAGTTGCCATCAATGGCAATTGTTTGTCACATCTCAGTGAATTCATTTAAGAGATTATTAATATTGCTCTAGAAATACTTAACAGTATTAGAGTAAACTTCGCTGAGGGGAAAGAAGAAATTTAAATGAACACAGTTTTTTCCTCTCTAAATTCGTAAGGCAAGTGGACCTTCTCCCACCCCTGATGCCCCCTGCCACAACCCATAAAGAACTGAAGAGTACTCCAGCTGAATTTTCTTCCTTTTATAAAAGCTCTCTCTAATCTCAAAGGAGTAGTATTCTGTTGGAATTTTTATATCTTGTTTGGAGCTGGTGCATGCTCTTGTGACAAGCATATAAAAGAAAAACTGATTACTTTCTCCCCCTTTTAATACATGAAATGGATGCTAAGTTTTTTGATATAATGTTTCTGGATCCTTCAATACTTTAAGTATTCCAGAAACCATAGGTTGACTAAAGCATAGAAATTTAAGTGACATGGTATCGTAGGTTTTGAAATACATAGAAATCTAGGAGATAGATTAGATTAGACTTTTGAAGATGGCAACACTGAAAGCCTTCACTCAGGTTTTCTTTTGTCCTTTAGGAGGTGTAACTAGCTACAATGATGCAGAGATTAGTGGTATATGAGGAAAAGCTAATACAGTGGTTCCTACATACTCATGGGCTCTGCATCCCTAGATTCCACTAACCACAGGTTGAAAATATTAAAAAAAAAAAAAAAAAAAAAAAGAAAAAAAGAAAATAGATGGGTGTGCCTCTATTGAACCTGTACAGTCTTTTTCTTCTTGTCATTATTTTCTAAACAACATAGTATAGCAACTATTCACATAGTATTTACATGCTGTTAGGTATAATAGGTAATTTAAAGATGACAAAATATATGGGAAGATATGCGTAGGTTATATGAAAATACTATATCATTTTATATAAGAGACTTGAGTGTTAAGTAAATTTTGATGCCCTCAGGGGTCCTGGAGCCCATCCCCCACAGAAATTGAGGGATACCTGTATTGAAGGTGAAAGTGTGACCAAAGTAAAACTTCAGGCGGACTCTCTGGTTCCCAAACCAGGAGTTGAACCTGAGCCATGGCTGTGAGAAGCAAGAGTCCTACCCACTAGGCCACCAGGAAAGCAGGTTGACTGTGGTCAGAACTTAGGCTCTTGGCCTTCCTAAGCTGAAGAATGGAGAAAAGGGCCTGAGAGGCGCCATGAGTTTTATAGCTGAAATATAACTTGTGGACCCAGAGTGTGGGAAAGTACAGTTTATTAGGCAGAATGCAAGGACACCTCCCATGCTTTCGTGGGAGGCGATCTGGAAAGGATTTCAGCCTAGGTTGGAGTAGTTTTTACCCTTGAGTTATTCCCGCCCCATTCATGTTCTCATCCAATGAGGGGAGTTCTTTCAAACTTCCTCTGGATTGATTGATCTTTGACTCCGTTAGCGGATTGGCTACTTGTTTTATAACTCTGAGTCATAGAGCCCCCACCTCCAAGAGCCAGAGGTGGAAAATCAGAGACAAAGGCCCTACCTGGCCTGCCAGTGGTAGGAAAGTGAAAAAAGGGCGCCTACCTGGCTTGCTAGAAGCAGAAAAATCAGAGACCCAGAGCTGTTACCTAGCCTGCCAGAGGCACAAAAACTGGAGAATACTCGAAACAATGCCCCAAGACAACCCTGGGAAGTCCCTCTAACACAGCCCCTCAAAAGTATACTCTGAGGCACAAATAAAATGGTTTCACCCTCATTCATGTTGTTACCTGGCATCCTGTAGCCACTTTTCGTCTCTCCTTCTCCTCTCCTCTCCCTCTTTCTTTCTCTTTCTCACTTCCCATCTTTCATCTTCCTACCCCCAAACCTAGAGTTAACCGAACTATGAGGTTTACAGCACAATTCTCCAGAATGTCAAGTCCTTCCAAAACTTATGGCCCCAACTGCAAAGAATTAGGGTTACAGGGAAGAGTCCAAAGTTATAAAGAAGAGTTCTACAAGACAACTTTCAAAACCACACACGTTTAATAATTCACTGAAAAGACACATGGAATGCATTGAGAGCTACTATACTCATGGATATTTATAGTGATGGATGTACTTATTAAGGGGAGAGGATACAAACTATTATTATCTAAAGAGAGACACTCATAGGGAAGACTGAGAGTTCCAAATTTGAGATTTTCATTGTCCTCAGGATTTATTACCTCTTGACATTCATATGTGAACATATGCCTGGTGTATTACCAGCCCAGAAGTTCATTGAGTTTTATGGTCCAGTCTTATGGAGACTTTGTTACATAGGCACAACTGATATATTGCCCACATGGCTAAACTCCATGTCTATAAAAGCTAAAACCTTCTGATTCAAATCCCCACCCTAAATCACATGGTTGTTTCTCTGAAAATGGTCAGCCCCCACACTGACTATCATGTGTGGCTGTGCAAATTCTGAGTCTTCTCATTAGCTAAACTATCAGTTGTCAAAGAAACTCATCATGAATAAAAAAGAACCAGGAGAATCATTATTACCTTGAAACTTACAGGAAATAAAATTCATGAACCTTTCCCAGTCTAGTGCATCAGAAACTATGTGAAAGGAGCCCAGAAACTATGTGAAAGGGGCCCAGAAATCTGTTTTTAACAAGCCCTCCAGGTAAGTCTAATTCATGCTCAAGTTTGCAATCCATTATTCTAATACTGAGACCCATAATAATCATGTGACAAGGAAGAAAAAAAGAGTAGAGTTTAAAAGCTTTTCCAGATAAGCAATATCACATTAAAAATAAGTAGTACTTGAATACACAGATTGCTATTCATTTAGTTCTTAAAACTTAAATTAAGTTCTTTATATTTATGTCAAAAAATTTAGATGAGACACCTTATTCATCTTCCTTTCTGCTTTCTTTTGTTTCATTTTTAAAACAGTTACTAATTTAGCGTAGCAGAAATTATCAAAGAAGTGTGCAGAAATATTTTTAATGAAATAAAAGCTATGCTACATTGTCAATGTTGGGTATGTATAGAGCATTTTTTTGCATTTGAAAACAAAGATTATCCTCTCATAAGTGGAGAACGTGTATCATATTCTGAAACATGAAATAACTTTTTTTAATAGCTCAGCTATGAACCATTCAACTTGGTGTCCATGATATGAAGGCCGACAGTTTGTAATGTAGGGTTTAATTAAATTGGGCATTGTTATAATTAAGGGTTTTGAGTTATTAATGCATCACTCTGGCAAACATTTAATTTTTTATCTCTTTAGTGAAATATTAAAAGAGGATATTAGGACAGTTAAATACAATTTGCTGCAGCAATGGTTTGAATTTTTAGATGTAATACAATACACTGCAGTAATTGTTTTCATCTTAAATAAAAAAGAGAACTTTTGGAAGCTCAAGAATATGACTATAGTCTGAAATAAGAGAACAATTCCATTTTTAAAAATCTTATATCAGGTATAATAAAACTAACTTGGAGAAGGAATTACTCTAAATGTTCAGTGTTGAAAATCTGTCTATGCTTACCCCAGACCACTCCAGCATTTTGGGCTCTCAAAATGGCATCTGAAGTTTAGGTTATTTTAGTATCACATACTATTTTAGAAAATATTTTGGATATTTCATTTGAATCTACACAAGGCAAAGGGGCAGATACATCTTTAACTTGTTTATTACCAGTTTTCTCTAACAGTTGATATTAATTAAAAGTATCATTTCTATTTATCCACCATAGGCTCTCAATAATTCTCCTAAGTAGGGAATCTTAGTCAACGTTTCAATGCAGACTCAGTGATAGTGTTCTTTCACTGTTAGTTACTATCTGAACTCTGAGGTATAGAATCATAAAGTCCAGCATTTCATTTCAGAGTTCACCCTGCCAAAAAACAAAACCAAACTTAAACAAAATTGATTCGAATTATTTGATAGCATGTTGCAAATTATGAGGAGTCCTCTGGTTAAAAAATATAGGAAATTTTATTTATTTCAACATTTGTAGAACTTAATTTAGCACAAGGTCTCCTTTTCACTCTGCTTATAATACAGTTCCAGAGAACACACATTGGAAAATGCTGTTGTAATGAAAAGAGGGGTGGTTTAGGCCTTAAGAGACTCCAAATCAACCCTGCTGTCATTATTTGCTAACTGTATTAGCTTAGAAAAATTAATTAAATGCTTGAAGTTTCAGTTTCTCATCTCTGAAATAAGATTGGTAACTCTACTTACAGCCTTTTTGTGAGGATTAAATGAATATATAGGCTTAGAATCTTGATAAACTTTAAAGTGCAATTGAAAAATTCCTTTTAATTTCTTTGGCTTGTCAACCTAAAATAATCTAAAAGGTCAATATCTAGTTTAAAGATAGTTTATTCAAGCACAAAATGTAAGGATGGGCTGCTCAGGAAGCTAAGATTCCAAAGAATGGAAGTCAGTGTTCTGAACTGTTGAAGTTCGGCTTCAATTATAAAGACAAAGTTTAGGGAAGTTTAAAAGATGTTCAATAGCTTTCTATTGAATGCTTACTGCTTAGTTACAATAATTTGATTAATTGAATTGGTCCTTTTTAAATTAAATTTTATTTTTTTTCCCCCCAGACAGAATCTTGCTCTGTCATTCAGGCTGGAGTGTAGTGGTGTGATTCTGGCTCACTGCAGCCTCAACTTCCCGGGCTCAAGTGATTCTCACACCTCAGCTTCCAGAGCAGCCGGGACTACAGGTGTGTGCTACCAAGCCTGGCAAACTTTTTAAAAGAATTGTAGAGACAGCATGTCCCTATGCTGCCCAGGCTGGTCGCAAACTCCTGTACTCAAGCAATCATCTACCTTAGCCTCCCAAAATACTGGGATTACAGGCGTAAGCCCTGCACCCAGCCAAGGTGGTCTTTTTTTTTTTTTTGGAATGTTATTCTTAACATTCCACACTGAAGATATAACCTTCACAGGGTCTTCAATGCCATTTGGTCTGAGTTATGTAGAGGATAATGAAGGAGGCAGTTAATTTATAACAAAGATCAATGATTAAAATGAAGGGGCGATCTGGTCTCTGGTCTGTCCCAGTCGTTTATAGAACAAGAATCGAGGAAAGGTTAACCATTATACGTTAACCTTTGTTAGCTAAGATTATACTAAGAAGCACAATTGCAAACATGCTATGTAACTCAGTCTCCAGGGCTTAAGTTCTCCCTTGCTATAATAAATGTAAAGGGTCCTACAAGTTTCTTTTCTTTTACATATTCTCCTTTTCTTAAAATCTTTCAAAGAAAAAGAATCATGTATTTAGGGAAAAATCTAACATTTCTAGGAAGTCCTGCCCCAATGAAGGTTTAGGGGTGGACACATCTCAATGATGAATTTTAAGAACAACACAACCAAATTGAGATGGCATCAATGGGTGGAACAAATGAGGCCTCAGTCAAGTCACTCATGTATACAGTCTCTATTACTTGTTTAATTATCTCTAGTCCTCAAACATATCATCAGTTTATTTTTCTCAGGAGAAATAATTTTTAAAAAGAGTTGTAGTCGAAATATAATGTATATAAGGATTATAATAAAGAGAATTTATGTGCCAAAATGAAAAAAACTATTCCATGGAAGAAGTAACTAACACCATTATAAAGAAAATTAAAACCTACTCATTCTTTAGAGATCTGTTATAGCCAGGAAATAATTCAGGATTTAATCTAAATTGTGGGAAAGTAATAAAAACTCAAAAATAATGGATAGGGCTAGAATTTAAAACATGTATCTCACAGTGTCCTTCTGAAACAAAATATTTTCCTGTTCAAATTTTTTGCCAAATATAAAGTTTAGTAAGACCAATTTACTTGCAAAGCAAGTTTTGGTGTTTAACTTGGCATGAGTATTTGCATAAGGTGCAACAGAAGTAGTGAATGGCCATATAGGCCTTTTAAAATTGGCTTTGCTGGAACATTTTTCATAAGGCATCCCTTATTAGATTTTTAAAAGGCTTTCTAGATCTGGAAGCAAAGACAATGATTCACAATGAGACTGTGCCCATACAAATTGGGTGAAATGCTCTTATTTTGCTGTCTCAAAATACCTTGAAGTTCCTGGGCCTGTTAGAAGGTGGCATTCTTTACTCACGACAAGATAGGAACTTTTGAGATAACTGCATAGACAAGGTACCAGGCCAGTCTTTCCAAAGGGCTTTTCCTCAGCTCTATAAGGTCAACTGTAATTCCTCAAAGTAGTGTAGTCAGATCTTAAAATACATCATTCCAGTCAAAGCTTTCGTAAAACAAACCCCAACAAAAACAAAACAAAAACAAAAAAGTGTCTTCAATTTTGTCCTGTTACAAATAAAAACATATTTTACTGAATTATACAAGTAACTATGTTTCCATAAATCAAGAATACTCACAAATCATCCCTAAATTATGGAGATGTCAGCTGAAAAAAAAGTTTTAATTTTCCTCACAAATATATGCTTTACCTAATTTCTGTGAGCTATAGCTCAAAAGAAGACAGGTTTTCTTGACTATGGAAAACCTAATGTAAAAAGAATCAGCATTCTTTTAAAAAAAGTCATAAAAATTATTTTAGTCCTCTATTAGTTCAATTCCATGTTATTAATTCTTGTTCTGTTTGATGTTGATTTACAAATGCTTATGAAGGTATCAGCTATTTAATTAAATCACAAATCTTTTAAATAGTCCAATGGGATTATCTTCAAAGTTATCAATAACCTGTATTTAAGAGTACTTGTCAATGTCTTTTTAAATAAATTGCTATCTCAAAAAGATGAAATTTTGACTGTGGCCAGTTGCAAACCACTTTTTGAGAAAAATTAAAGTAAATCAATATTTGGAGGTGACAAAAGACTTAAAATAGCCATGGCTAAAGATGCAATCGACAAAAAAATTTGGTTATTTATGTGGCATATAACAATTTAACACAGTAATCATAATTATGACTGATAATATATATCAAAACATATGAGAATTTAGGAATATCACACAATTTTGGAGCACATATTAATATCACATTTATATAAATTTAACTCAACAAGTTAACATTATTTTTTATTTGATCATGCTTTCTGTATGATTTTAACATAACAAATAAGCCTAATGTGTCTGTCTTGGACTTCCAGGGGTTCCCATTTGTTATGTTTCACAGATAGTTTGGATTGAAAAAACTTAACTTTAGATTTTGAAATTTGATTTGGGGAAGTATATAAAATATTAAAAGTGTAAAATGTTTAATATCAAAATAGAACCACAGACCAGTTCATTTAGCCAAAGTGATATTTCAAAGATTTTTAAAAAGAAAGCTTTTGTATTCTTTTAGAGAGGAGACTGTTTCCCAAAAATCAAAAGATCCAATGAAATAATATGAGCCAAACATAATCTATTTCGCCCACCATCATTTTTGTCAGCTTACTGACAAAAACCCTCAAATATTTTACTATTGCTTATTAATAGTAAATGAAATTCTTGTTCAAAGGAGAAATCTGAATTTCATTTTATATTAGTGTGTTATCAGTCTAAAGCTAATTTTGGTAAAACCTTACAAATGAATGTAGCTACTTGCAATGAGCTTTGACCACATAAGACTTCCAGATATCTTTTATAACCTCTTACAAAACTTTTGTATTTTTTTTTTAACGTATTGGATCAATTTAGGCCGTCCGTCTCTCTCTCTCTCTCTCTCTCTTCCTCCCTCCCTTCTCTTTTTTTCTTTATTTCTCCCTTTCTTCCTTTCTTCCCTTTCTTTCCTCTCTTTCCTTTCTTTTTTTCTTTCTTTCTCTTTGATCTCACTGTGTTGTCTGAGCTGGTGTCAAACTCCTGGGATATGCCTGCCTCCACCTCTCAAAGTGCTTGGATTACTGGTGTGCATCACCATGCTAAGCCTAGATTCATTTAGTTATACATGTATAATTTTTTCTTCATTTTGAAACATATTTAAAATAACCTATAAAGTAGATAAATTTATGTTGTCTCTAATAAAAACATATTTTATTCTCTTTTTTTTTAAACTAGAAAAAAAATCTGTTAGCTGCAGCAAATCCGATAGGCTTGCAGCAAACTTGGTACTTGCCTCCTGGAAGGAAATAATTTGGCTGAGGGGCATATGACAGAGGAAGAGACCAAAGCAAGTCTTAGATCAGGAATGAAAGAATGCAAGGTATACCTGGAGGAGGGACAAGCAGGCAACTTGAGAGATCCAAGTGCCTCATCCATACTTTGACATGGGATACTTATACATTGGCATGCTTGAGAGGTTTGCGTTTCTCCTCCCTTGATGTTTCCTTGAGGTAAGCTGTCTACAAGCACAGAAATCTGCCAGAACATGGGAGGGGTCATATGTACTGTATTTACTGAAGTTTTGTTCATGTTCATTTGAGGCATTTTTCCATACCAGTAGAGTATTATTAGAGGAAGGTCATACATATATCGATTAAATTCCACCATTTCTCCTCTTTGTATGCATGGTTGAGCCTGCTCACCTAACTCCTGAAATTTTATTAGAAATCTGCTGATCACCAGGTTCAGATGTGTTCTCTCTTTCTTTCTTTCCTTCGTTCCTTCCTTCCTTCTTTCTTTTTTCTCTCTTTTTTTTTTTTTTTTTTTAGAGTTTCACTCTTGTTGCCCAGGCTGGAGTGCAATGGTGCAATCTTGGCTCACCGCAACCTCCACCTTTTGGGTTCAAGTGATTCTCTTGCCTCAGCCTCCCAAGTAGCTGGAAATACATGCATGCGCCACCAGGCTCGGCTAACTTTTTGTATTTTTAGTAGAGATGGGGTTTCTCCATGTTGGTCAGGCTGGTCTTGAACTCCTGACCTCAGGTGATCCACCTGCCTCAGCCTCCCAAAGTGCTGGGATTATAAGTATGACCAACTGTGCCTGGCCCAGAAGTTTCCTATCTATTGGGAGACTGATATTAGCTGATATTAGCTACAACCAATTATTATTTTAGAGAGACACTTTAACAACCACCTGACCATCACCTGATGGTTACCTGACATTCCGGGAGAGGGAGGCACTCTCTTGACGGATTCATGCCTCTCTAGCTACCTAACATTTCCCCCTTCAAGAGTCTGTGATCCAATACTTGGGGAAAACAGACAGATGTCAGTCTTCTGTAACTGCTTCCTGCTGACAGTAGGACAGTGGTGGTTGTTCCATGGGTCTTGGCTTTTTGCTAGCTGTCAGGGCAGTGTGGCTCTGTGGGTTGGTGAAATCAGTATTCAGCCAGGTTCAAGGGAGATGGGCAGAATTTTGCCTCAATTGTGTCCCACTAATGGGCATTCTGGAGGTCCTCTGTAGAAGGGTGGCTCTTAAATATTGATGGGCCAGTGTCCCACACTGAGTATTATCTCGAGCTTTGTGGCCTAAAAATGAGAAGAACAAATCACATTATTAGATTTAGAAAACATGGACAAAAAAAAAAAAAAAAAAAGGAGCAAAAATAGGAAAATAAAAAGTAGGCCTAAAAAGGGAAGAAACCAGGAGAACCATTTCCAGGTCCGTTCCGAAATTCACCAACACTAAGAGCCTTTTTCCCATAAATGAGAGGCTTCATTGGAGTTGTTTGATGTTGTTGTGTACATCTGCTGATGGATTTACATAAAAGCAACCTTTTTCATCTACGGCTAAATAAATTCTTTCATGTGCTTCAATTAATATACCTAGTTCTCAACAATTTTGGAAGGCTGTGTTTGCTAAGAGCCACTTTTTTCATTCATGGTCAT